CTTAATTAACTGAACAGGCTGTCAATAGAAACTGGGAATACACTTAGTGAAAATTGCCTGGGGTTACATTCTTCTAAACTACTCATAGGAAATGAGTACGTTTAAGATTTGAATCCTTCACTTTTCTGGTTCTTATGTAGCTGTAGCTTCGCACATTAATGTTGTTAATGGCAATGAAGATGAAATTTATGACCTAAATACTCGTTTAAACAGAAATTAGCTCTTAGGGTTTATATCATATAAAGATGTTTTTTTTATCAGATATTGATACCTATTCAGCTATCTAGCACTTGGGTTCCTAGATTGATTCAGTATTCGTCTTCAAATCTATGCTTAAGATTAGTTTTTGTTTACCTATTTTGCATCTCCGTCAGTTTAACATTGGCTTAGCTCAGCAAAACTAGTCATTTGGATTGTTAAAAATAAAATTCCGCTTATAATCTCTATAGGCATGCACATACAATTCACTGACCATGTATGGCCAATATGATCAAATTTTCAGCGGCATGTCGCTTGGAGTTGTCCAGAACTCGGCGCACCAAGTCACCCGCAGTACTTATCCACTCAGTGACCTCCTCAATGTAGGTCGAAAAGTATGGACTAGATGTTTTTGATTCTGCAAGAGGGCTCGACCGAGTCTGCTGGTACAGGTCAGAGCAAAGTAAAAATCTTTGCGGCATTGCGAGAACTAACGGATGGCCCGTCGGCGATGTAGACGAAGGAAGTGATGTTTGATAATCGAATAAAGAAAATGTGTTTAATGCGAAGGATATTTGACGTGTCCAGTAAATCTGAAAGCTGACACACACCGCCTGCCCCGGGAAACGAACTAGCCAATCGTCCAAGAGCTTGACACTAATACGAGGAGGACTCGCTTTTGCCTGTTCAGGTTGAAGCGAAAAAGTTGTTTGCTTCATCGAAATGCCATCTGAACCGGAAATAATTTGGGCTTCAGTAGCAGGAAAAGCAAGGATAGCTTCACGGATGGTGTGAAACATTGCAGCATGCATTGCCTTCTCCAGCTGATAAAAACATTTTTGGTTGAAAACAAGGATGGAAAAAGGTATATGTTAATTTTTATAACTCACCTGAGGTATGTACAGTTCAAAATTTATTTCCGTGAAGGAATAAATATATTCATATATTTTTTTATGGGAAGACCTCTAAGCTAAACCTTGCCGTTTCATTTTTATAAAAAAGATTAATTTGAATAATTAATGCTTATGCTAGAATGATTAAGAAATAGCCTTGGAGAAACAGGGCTAACTTTGGGATAAATTAGCGCTCGATTATTCAATAATAAGGCCCTAGGCCTATCTATAAAAACAAAACACTTTATATTTTACTTGAGTCTATGGGACAGCATTGTTGATTAAACACAAATGACATTATATAGAACAAATCAAAATTAAGATATGACATACCTGTCCCAGCCAGACTTCTACTAAGCCCATACTTCGTTCTGGCACAATTGGGACTATAAAAGCAACCTTTTCGCCACTTGATGCTTCCATTCCAACCACTACCAGCTTGCCCTTGTCCAGATTTCTATATTCCGGCTGCATACCGTGGTCTGAATTGTAATTAGAACCAGACAACTTGACGCAAGGGTCGTTATGCGAATCAGCTTTTAGAATGTAATGAGCAAGATTTTCACCCTTTGAATCCCCAGCATCGTTGAACAGTGCCTCGGTGCATTTGTTGACGACCTTTTCAATATTCTTTTTATGAAGTTGGATGTCGGAAGCATCTCCTGCCCAGCTTTGCTGGGCCAATCTAACAAAAGTGAGTCGGGCAATACCTTCGAAGCATTTAGGAATGTGAGGTTGCATTAGCAAGGGATCCAAGTTCTCCGAAATGATCGTGAGTATCTCAGCATCTGAGAGGAAGTGGAAGCGTGGGTAGAAGAAGCGTTTTTCGATCAACAGGTCCACGAGGCACTGTTGTATTCCATCAAATCCAGTCTGCAAGTAGGCATTCAAGAAAACAAGATATTAAACGTACTTTTGTTAAGCTTTGTTTTACCAGGACCTGAATACACTTAGACACAATTTCTGACTAAGCAAACGCTATGAGATGTATTCACTGAGATGATTTACTGGTAGTCTTGATACTCTACTTAAATATGAAAAATAAGTAATGTAGTCGATTATTATAGCAAATATAAGTTTGCTTCATCGACAATCCCACCAAATAATATAATATGGCAAAAGGCTTGGCCTTTCTTGAAATTCACATCTCCCCTATGACCCAAGGGCATTCGTTGCAATGTGGACGAGTGTTCAACGTGTCAAGCTCCCATTCTGCACTGTTACGGTTTGACTCCCGTTGGAAGTGTTGATAAGACCGATGCGAGGTTGAAACTGCAGTCCACTTCTGTCTGGATGAGCAAAGCAAGGCTATGTAAAATTCAATGGAAACGTCAGCTCTACTCATATCATTGTGGGAAAATTCTACTACCAGTCCTTCATCACCTTAACGAAATTGGGTGAATACATCTCATAGTACTGATTTACTGGTAGTTTCGAAACAATACTTAAATACGAACGGGTGAATACATCTCATATTACTGATTTACTGGTAGTCTCGAAACTCTACTTAAATATAAAAAATAAAAAAACGATTGTTTCATTATTTCAGTATAGACAAATGAGAAGCTACAAAACAGTATAGTCTATATACTTTGAAAAATCTTAAACTAATGCATTATAACAAATAATAAAACATGCTTTGGCAAATGACCAGTAATCTGATGATTTGTTAGTTGGGGTAAAGTTTGGGCTATCATGAAGTTATAAGCATGAAGAATGCTTGCCACATTTTATG